GGGAGATGAGACAACGAGTGATAAGTGAGTGGTGAGAGGGAGAGGAGAGAGGAAGCGAGAGAGGAGAGAGGAAACGCGCAGAATTCCGTAAGCAAACATTGTGCACTCGACATCTTCGGGAGAAAGTGTGGGCCCCGGAAGTAAGGAAGCACGGCAGGATGATTGAAACAACGCGTCGGGAGGTCGTTCTTGGAAGGAAATCTGTAGAAAAGGCCTTACCGTTTTTTTTTTTTTCTTTTCTTTTTTTTTTTTTTTTTTGGGGGGGACAAGGGAAAATTGATATAGCATTAAAATACTGATTAAATATGATGATGTTGATAAATGATAAAAAAGGATGATAAAAAGTGATATATGATGAAGAAATGAATAATGATGAAATGATATAAAGAGGAAGATAAGCGAGGAGATTATCGTCTCCTCTCATCACCTATTAAAAACTCATTCATTATCCATAGATAATGATTAATTGTGAATATGATAATAGAAAAACATACGATGATGATAAAGAGGAAAAGAGAAAGAAAAAACAAGGAGAAAGGACTAAAAAGGAAAAAAAAAGGAAAAGGAAAGACTAAAAAAGAAAACAAGAGAAGGAAAAAAAAAGAAAAAAAATACCTACAAATAAAGGTAAAAATGATAGATTCCTTTTGGAGAATAATAATATCATCATTAATGATACTTTAGTAATATTAATGCTAAATAAAAGAAACGCGTAAGAATTCCTAGAATAAAACGATGTGCACTCGATATCTTCGGAGAAGTGTGGGCCCGTAACTGGACCCACGAAATCATAGGAAAAGTGTTGGCCGGCAACTGGACCCGCGAAATCATAGGAGAAAGTGTGGGCCCGGGAACTGGACCCGCGAAATCATAGGAGAAAGTGTGGGCCCGGTAACTGGACCCGCGAAATCATAGGAGAAAGTGTGGGCCCGGCAACTGGACCCGCGAATCATAGGAGAAAAGTGTGGGCCCGGAGTAAGGAAGCACGGCAGGGATGATTGAAACGACGCGTCGGAGTCGTTTGGAAGAAAATCTGCAGAAAGGCTTACGGTTTTTTTTTTTTTTGGCGGGGGGGGGGCAAGGGAAATTGACATAGCATTCAAATACTGATTAAATATGATGATGTTGATAATGATAATGAAAAGGATAATAGTGACATTTGATGATATATTGATTATGATGCATAAAGGATGGAATTATCGTCTCCTGATTAAACCATTTATTAGATAATGTAATTGTGATATGATAAAGAAAAATTGATGATGATGAGAAGGAAAGAGAAGGAAAAACAAGAGAAAGACTAAAAAGGAAAAAAAGAAAACAAGAGAAAGACTAAAAAAAGAAAAAAAAAGAAAAACAAAGAGAAAGACTAAAAAGGAAAAAAAAAAAGAAACACAAGAAAGAGCTAAAAGAAAAAAAGAAAACAAGAGAAAAGACTAAAAGAAAAAAAAAAGAAAAATCAAGAGAAAGACTAAAAAAAAATAATAATACCTACAAAATAGAAAAGAAAAAGAAAATGCAATAACTATACAAAGAGCCGAGACGAAAAATGTGAAAGAACCTTAAAGAGAATTCCTCTTTCGCCTTCAATTTTCGCCCGAACAGCGTCCGTCGATTAAACTTTTCTCGACGCTGCTCCTTATTAAGTGTCATTTTGGTCTCCTTTCCACCCTGAGACTGGCTCGTTTTAGCAGGTTGGCCGTTTTACTTGGTTCATTGGGGCCTTAGTTCGATGGGATGTTGTTACTGCGCTAGAAAACAGAGCTATGTGTCGGGCACGTGTGACCTTGTAGAATACTCTCGTGCATTTTGGTACATTCTATATCAATGACATTAACAATATTATTGAAATTTCGTTTTGTTTTTTTTCTTTCTTTTTTCGTTTCGTTTTTTTCATTTTTCCTTTTTTTTTCGTTTTCATTTTTTATTTTGTTCGTTTTCGTGTTTTCTTTTTTCTTTCTTTCTTTCGTTTTTCTTTTCTTTTCTTTCTTTCTTTCTTCGCATATGAGATGTCCTTAGGATGCCATTTCGGAAAAAAATGTGTACCGATGCTATTTGGGATGTCCTTAGGAAGTAGTAAGATGTGTAGCCCAAGACTTCACAAGTTACGAAAGAAAATCACTCATAACTTATCCTAATATTCTTTTTTATTATCTAGCTATAAAAGGCCTATTAATAGTATCAGTGATATCAATACCAATAAAAGAAACGCGCAGAATTCCGTAAGAAAAATGAAATGCAATAACTATACAATGAGCCTAGACGAAAAATTCGAAAAACATTATCTCGACGCCATTATCTCGACACATCCTACCAACAAGGAACAGCGCAATCAGAAACCTTCCGCGATGGATTCTGATAAGGAATCTCGCCGCTTCTTCTACAGGAGCCCAACGTCCCTCCCTCAGGCTTAGATTACTGTCCTGCAGGAGATATTAGCCCCAGGACCTCTTTCCTTTGGGGGTTAGAAAGCCAGCTCGGTGATCGTCGTGGCTTGGGGTTATTACTTCCTCCAATCATACTCGAGTTGATTAATTAACTAGGTAGACTTTGCCTCGGATTACCGGCGTTTCATATTAGGTTGACTTTAGGGGGAAATCAAACCAAGAAACGTCTTTGTTGGTTTTTTTTTCAGGTGGGAGATTTTCATAAATACTTTTGCTAGCTGGAATTTGAAGTTTTTGATTTATAACTTGTTTTAGATGTTTCTTATAAGTTTTTGGCATCTTGTTTGATATGTATATTGTTTTATTTTATTGTATTTAATTTTTTATATACATTGGGATACTTAAGATGAATGACTTTGCTGTGCTCGTATTTCTTAGGAAGAAAATGTTTTAGGGATTTCTGTGCTTATCCCAACACTTCTTCCTGTCTTCTATCTTCTCCTTCCCACTCCTTTATTCCTTCACTCCCTATCCCTCTCCACTTCCTGTCTTCCACCTTCTCTCGCTATTCACTCCTTTACTCTCTCTCTCCCTGCTTCTTCCATTCCATCGTTCTCCCTTACCTCCCCCTTTTCTTATTCTCTCTCCCACTTCATCCACTCCATCTTCCACCCACTTATCCCCCCCCCCCTCGTCCTTACCTCCGGGGACGTGAGCGAGATAAAGGGAACATGAGATGAAGAGGAAGGGAAGAGAGAGAGGAAGGAGGAAGGAACGAGTGAGTAAGAAGGAATGTTAAGATAAAGAGGAAATAAGGCAGGTAAACCTAGTGAGAGAGAGAGACAGGTAGATAGGGGAGAGAGAGAGAGATGGAGGATGGGGAAAGGGGATGGTGGGGAAGACGAACCTCTCTCCCTTCCTTTTTCCTCCTTCTCTCCACCCACATTCCTCCTCCCCTCACCCCCCCCTCCCTCCCTTCCTCCTTCACCCCCCATCCCTTCCTCCATCCCTCCCTCCCTCCCACTATCCATCCTCCAATCCAATGCTGCCAATAATCCTTCGTAAAGGGATTCCCTCCTACTCTCTGTCCCTTCCCATCCGTCCCTCCGTTCCCCCTCCCCCTCCTCCTTACTGCCCCTATCCTCCCTCCCTCCCTCGCTCTCCTACTACCCCTTCCCTCCCTCCCTCCCTCCTCCCTCCTCCTCTTACTGCCCCTTCCCTCCTCCCTCCCTCCTTCCTTCCTCTTACTGCCCTTCCCTCCCTCTTCCTCTTACTGCCCCTTCCCTCCCTCCTCCTCTTACTGCCCTTCCCTCCCTCCCTCCCTCCCTCCCTCCCTCCCTCCCTCCCTCCCTTCCCCTCCCCCTCCTCTTACTGCCCCTTCCCTCCCTCCTCCCTCCCTCCCTCCCTCCTCTTACTGTCCCTTCCCTCCTTCCCTCCTCTTACTGCCCCTTCCCTCCTTCCCTCCCTCCGTTCCCCTCCCCTCCTCTACTGTCCCTTCCTCCTTCCTCCCTCCCTCCCTCCCTCCCTCCCACCACCCACCCTCCCACCCTCCCTCCCTCCCTCCCTCCTGCTATCCATCCTTCAATCCAATCCTGTCAGCGGTCCATCGAAAAGGGATTTCCGATTGTCGACGAAGACCCGGGACAGAGTCTCTTGTGTGGGGAAGAAACAAGGCGCGTCTTGATTGGGAGAGACAATAGAGCATAGGTAATTACAGTGGAAGGGGGGAGGAGTGAGGGAGGGAGGAAGGGGAGGGGTGGGAAGGCAGGAAAGGAAGGAGGGTGGTGGGAGAGGGAGGGAAGGTGGGGGGGAGAGAGAGGAAGAAGGGAGGGGAGGGAGGAAGGAAAGGGGGTGGGAAGGCAGGAAAGGAAGGAGGGTGGGGGGAGAGGGTGAGGAGAAGGGGCGGGGGAAGAGGAAGGAAGGAGGGAGGGTGGGGAGGAGGGAAGGTGGGAAGGCAGAAGGAAGGGAGGGAGGGAAGAGAGGGGCGGGGAGAGGGAAGGAGGGAGGAAGGAGAGACGGAAAGAGCAGGAAGGAGATGTAGATGAGAAGGGAGGAGAGGGAGGAGGGAAAGAGTGGAAAGGTAAGAGTGAGAAATTTTGAGAAGGGAGGAATTAAGGGAGAAGGAAAAGGAGAGTGAGTAGGGAGGAGGAAGATCGAGAAGAGATCGAAGGGAGAGAGGAGGCTAATCTGAAGGTGTTTATCAATCTGTCTTTGAGGCGCATTCGGGGAGACTCGGTCCGTCGGAGGCTGGCCGTCGCCCCCACAGGAGAGAGAATTTCCTTTTCTTTGCTGTTTAGTGTTACTGCCATTTATGATTTTTATTATTACTATATATATATATATATATACATATATATATATATATATATATATATATATATATATATATATATATATATATATATATATATATATTATATGATGTGTGTGTGTGTGCGGGTATGTGTATGTGTTATACATACATATATAAGCACACACACACCACACACACACACACACACACACACACACACACACACACACACACACACACCACACACACACACACACAGAATATGTACATGCATCCACGCCCACCGCCTCACCAGCCGCCTCACGCCCCTCCCTCCCCAGCGTGTGCGGGATCCAGCACTTCCAGCGCGCCGGCCACCGCCACCTCAACCTCTTTCAGGCCGTCTACTACGTCATCGTCACCTTCTCCACGGTCGGATACGGAGACTTCGTGCCCGACATCTGGCCGTCGCAGCTGTTCATGGTCATCATGATCTGCGTGGCGCTCATCGTCCTCCCGACGCAGGTGAGTCAGAGGGCGTTCCCGAGTGGTTCCTGAAGGTGGGCGGCGGGGGTCAACCTCAGCTCAGGTCAGAAGGGCGTTCCCGAGTTGTTCCTGAAGCGTGGGGGGGGGTCAACCTCAGCTCAGGTCAGAGGGCGTTCCCGAGTGTTCCTGAAGGTGGGCGGGTGGGAGGTCAACCTCAACCTCAGCTCAGGTCAGAGGGGCGTTCCCGAGTGGTTCCTGAAGGTGGGCGGGGGGGGGGTCGGGCGTCCGAGTGGTTCCTGAAATGGCGGCGTGAATCGAGGGGTTAGGTGTGGCTGTGGGAAGGTTTGCGAGGAAGAGGTTCAAATGTGTCGTAGTTGGCGGAGGTTGGGAGCTGTGTGGGTGTCTGGTGGTTCGGGATGGAGGAGAGCTGCTTGGTTTGATTTTCTCCCTTTTGCATTGTTTATTTTTAGTCGACATTTTCCATGAGTGGGCGTTGTTTTCAAAGGCTAATGCTTTCATGGTAAAATGACTTAAAGTGAATTATGAATTAAATTTATTATGGAATATAGTGTGCGTGTGCGTGGGTATGTGTGCTTATTAATACATATTAATACATATGTTTGCCAGTGTGCGCTCGCGTATACTTATAACCTACAGGAAGAACAACGAATGCTTCCTGAACTTCTTCCATTTCTTTAAACTTCAAACTTCCTAACAAAAGCAAACTCTCTTTCTTACAAAGAAAATTTCACTTGTCGACCGTGCTTTTTGTCTTGAGTATCCTTCATGGTTTCCCAGAGCTATGGGAGTTTGACCTTTAAAGTGTTATGCAACAGTGCCTAAGTCGTTTCAACACGTACATTGAACCCCTTTATGACTCCCGTGAAACGAAACGCGATAAAATAAAATTCTATGTGCAGTTGAGTATTATTTTCATTGTATTTTTAGAGCATATTGAGCTCCATTTATTAGATTGTTTTTCCTTTTGTGTTGAAATGGCAATGTAATCTTATGATTGATATGGAGCAGTGTTAAATATATCATTCGGAAAAATATTTGGATTATAAAAAATAGGTATAAGTTAGCATTGCTAGTAGTAGTGTTATTATCAGTGCTTCTGTAACTGTCTTTATTTTACTATTATTGCTATTATTGTTAACGTTATCATTATTATCGTTGTTGTTATTATTATCGGTCATTATTATTATCATTATTATTATTATTATTATTATTATTATTATTATTATTATATCATATCATCATCATCGTTGTTCATTATTGTTATAATCATCAATACTAATACTATCATCATTATCTTATCATCATAATCATCACCATCATTTCCACCATCACCACCACATTACTCCGCTTGCCCCTTCTCCCTCTTACTAATCCCCCCCCCCTCCCTCTCCCTCCCTTCCTCCCTCTCTCCCCCACAGTTCGAGCAGCTCGCCTTCACGTGGATGGAGAGGAAGAAGCTGGGAGGCACGTACTCGGCCCACCGCGCGCAAACGAGCGGCACGTGGTGGTGTGCTCCACCAACCTGCAAGCGGACACCATCATGGACTTCCTCAATGAGTTCTATGCTCATCCACATTTGCAGGTTGGTTGATGGGAGGGGGGTGGGGGGGTGATGTGGGTGGGGGGGGGGGGGGAGTGGGAAGTGATGTGTGGGTGGAAGATGGTGGTGGAAGGGAAGAAAGTGGGAGGAGGGTGATGGGGGGGGAGGTGGTGGTGGAGGAAGAAGGAGGTGATGGGGGAGGATAAGGAGGTGGGGTTGATGGTGTTGAAGGAGTAGCTGGTGGAGGAGAAGGTGGGGAAGATAGCGGAGGAGGTGGTGGGGTATGGAATGATGGAAAAGTGGAGGAGGCGACGGTGATATAGTAGATGTTGTGATAGCTGACGCCAATGTAGTTTTGATGTTATTTTATATTTTTTATGGAGTTCCGTTTGCTAGTATTATTCTTAAATGAAGCACCATTCTTAAGCTCACTGATAACAGCGTCATCACCACCACCATCACCATTCCCGCTCCCTTCAACACCAAGAATAACATCACCGCCGATGTTATCATCATTAACAAACCCCCTTCACACAGTCCCATTCCCCTGATCTTTAACAATCAGGTTCAGGATAAGCCATTGCTAATCTATTCTAATCCGATACACCTTTCCTAATATACCCTTTCTCCTCCCCTTCTCCCTTCTTCCCCTCCTACACTTCTCTCCAATTACCTTTCTCCCCTCCTCTCCTCCTCTAATCCTCCTCCTTCCCTTTGCCTCTTCCCCTCTTCCCTTTCACTTCTCCCCTTTTCCTTCTACTTTTCTCCTTCCATCTTTCTCTCCTCCCCACTTTCTTCCCATCCTTCCCTCTTCCTCTCCTCTCTTCCTCTTTCGTCAACCTTAAACAAGCACAACCAATATTAACTAAGCCAAGTCAAGGCAGATTATTCAACCCAGACAAAACCAAACCAAACCTACTCAACCCAACTCAATCTAAACAACCCTACCTACTGAAGCCAAACAAAACCAACCTAATTCAACCCAAACTACGCAACGGAGTCCAAGCCAAGCCAAGTCCTATCCGTCCTGTTCAAACTAATTCAAACCTCCCTAAAGTGAACAAACAACCCGGTCACCCAAGAGAGCCCAACCTAAAGCAATATAATCTAAGGTCAACTTCAGCCTCAACCCAACTTAGGTCAACCTCAACTTCAACCCGACTCAACCTCAACCTAAGGTCAACTTCAACCTAACTCAGGTCAACCTCAACCCAAGTCAGGTCAACCTCAACCCAAGTCAGGTCAACCTCAACCCAATCTCATCCAATCAAACCCTTTTTAACGCCTTATTTTATCCTCTCCAGGACTACTTTGTGGTGCTACTCTCTCCCATGGAGTTGGACCCCACTATGAAGATGATCCTGCAGGTGCCGATGTGGGCGCAGAGGGTCATCTACATCCAGGGGTCATGTCTGAAGGACGGTGACCTGACCCGGGCGAGAATGAGCGAAGCCGAGGCGTGCTTCATCCTGGCGGCGAGACACTACGCGGACAAGACGGCGGCGGTGAGGATCGGGGGCGGAGGGGAGGGGAGAGGGGAGGGAGGGGGAGGGGGAGGGGGAGGGGGGGGAGGAGGGGAAGGGGGGGAAAGACTGTATTTTTTCAATTCAAACATAAAACAAACCAGTATTCAAAAACAAATATCTCTGACCTCAACCCAACTCAGATCAATCTCAACCCAACTTAGGTCAACCTCAACCCAACTCAGGTCAACCTCACCCAACTTAGGTCAATCTCAACCCAACTTAGGTCAACCTCAACCCAACTTAGGTCAATAAACAATAGATTCACATCACTCTCCAAGACCCTCCATCCTTCTCACTTCCCCGCCCACCCACCCGCAGGACGAACAACCATCCTGCGTTCCTGGGCGGTGAAGGACTTCGCGCCCAACGTGCCCCAGTACGTGCAGATCTTCCGGCCGGAGAACAAACTGCACGTAAAATTCGCGGAACACGTGGTGTGCGAGGACGAGTTCAAGTACGCCCTGCTCGCGAATAACTGCATGAGCCCCGGGATCTCCACTTTAGTAACCTTGCTACTGCACACTTCCCGCGGACAGTGAGTATCTCCCGTCTTCGGTGGTGACCTTTTGATGATAAGGTCAGTTCGTGTTTTGAAACGTGTGTGTGGGATGGTGGATGGTGAATGTCCCTTTTTAGTAACATGATTTCTTGATTTTGGGATATATATATATATATATATATATATATATATTATATATATATATATATATAGATATATAGATAGATAGATAGATATATATAATATCTGATTTTTTATAAGATAGCTTATTCGTAGGTAGATAATTAGCATTATATAAGGGTAGATAATATAGCATTGTATAACCTATTATTAGGTTTCTCGGACAAAATGTCACGTTATGTTTACCATTAAAAAAAAACTTCAAACGAATTAGGAAAAATGAATATATTTTAATGTTCTTCAAACGAATTAGAAAATAACTTCTTAAAGAAATTTCCTTCAAACGATTTAGTTTTTAGTCTGAAGATCATTTTAGTTTATAAAAAATGATCTTCACACGAACTAGAAAAATACTTCCTTTTTTTCAAAGTTCTTGGCACTAACTGCTCCTTTGACCCCCAGGGAAGGCCAGGCGTCGCAGGAGGACTGGCACCGCTTGTACGGGAAGTGTTCGGGCAATGAAATTTATCACATTAAGTTAGGGGATTCTCGCTTCTTTGGCGAGTATGAAGGGAAGAGCTTCACTTATGCGAGCTTTCATTCACATAGAAAGTAAGTGGCTTCTATTTTACTATTGTTTCTTTTTTCTTTTTCTTTGTTTTTTTCTCTTTTTCTTTCTCATTTTGATGTGAATTGGTATGTTGGAATTTAGATTGTAGTTTCTGCTTTAAGGTTGTTCCTTTGATTTGGATTCTGAAATTTCCTTCTTTAAAATTTTATAGTACTGCTTGACCATGGTTTATTATGGCAACAGTGAAAGCTAATATACATACATGTATACATACATACATGCATATATGTATGTGTGTGTTTTTAATTACTTTTCCCTGCAACTGTTGAGTATACAACAAAGTTCAGCAGACGCAATAAATTTACAGTAGTAATGAAAAACCTTCATAAAGTAAACTAACATTTTTCATTGATTTTTGTCTTTCAAGCACGATTTATATCTATGTATATCTAAATTTCACCTTCTCGAGAGATGAACAATGTTTTGATGTTGGTTATAGATTTCCCTTAGACTGCGTTGGAAATTACGAATATTAAAGATCCAGTCTTCGATGTGTTTGCTATTTGACATACTGTTTTATCCCCCTTTGAAGTGCTGGTAATAAAATCCGATAACTCATCTCTTTCGTATCTCGTCTTTTTTAAGATCAAATAAGCCTCTTTCTCTCTCTCTCTCTCTCTCTCTCTCTCTCTCTCTCTCTCTCTATCTATCTAATCTATCTATCTCTATCTCTATCTCTATCTCTATCTCTATCTCTATCTATCTCTCTCTCTCTCTCTCTCTCTCTCTCTCTCTCTCTCTCTCTCTCTCTCTCTCTCTCTCTCTCTCTCTCTCTCTCTCTCTCTCTCTCTCTCTCTCTCTCCTGTTGAATCCAACTCAGACCAGTCCACGCTTCTTTATTCCTTTTCGATGCACAGCCTTAAAGCCCGTAAGACCTCGCTTGTCTCCCCACCAGATACGGCGTTGCCTTGGTCGGGGTCCGGCCTGCCGAGTTACCCGAGTTCTACGAGGACACGATCTTGCTGAACCCTGGACCTCGACACATAATGAAGAAAACAGACATTTGCTTCTACATGAGCATCACCAAAGAAGAGAACAGTGCCTTTGTTGTGGGAACAGGTGCAAGCAGCAGCAGCAGTCAGGAGGGCAGGGCTGAGCCGGAGGACCCTGCCACGAAGGACCCGGAGAAGGGCATGAAGCTGAGCGAGTGCGAGGACCGTCCCAAGCCGAGATCAGGTAATCTGCGCCCCCGGACGCCACTCGTTCAGGGAGGACAAATGGGACAGCCACTTTTTTTAGGGGGAATCTCTTCTTGATACTTAAAGCCACCTCTTTGTAGAAAATGTTTAAAATCCGTTTTGTCGCTATAAACTGATTTTTTACCCTTTAAAATCCATTTTTATCTGTTGCATCTAAAACATCATTACCTTGATCTGCTTCTGTTGGGGAGCTAATTTTGTACCAGGCAAAAAAAAAGCACTTTAGGGATATGCCTCAATGTTTTGAGTACTGAAACCTACCGGTCTTTGCGGGTGTCTTAAATGGAAGACATTTTAGCGTCAAATAAACTACAATTGGTACTTTTCACTTGTAGGCCGAAGGTGTGTCCTGCTCAAGCTGCGACGCAACGGTATGGAAGAAAGCCTTATCCGTTCAGTACCGTGCCCGTTAGCTATCCCTAACAGATAAAACTGTAGCTGACTCGTTAGGAGAAGAGCTTTTAACAAGCAATGTAATTTTTATTAGAGTTTTCCCCTCCAGAAAACATCCCCAAAATACTGTAGCTTCGTAATCCTCTTCCTCCTGGCCTTAACATTAGCAGGACGTTTGTTTTGTAGACAACCTTGAACACACTCGTTCATCTCTGTACCAGAACAAAGCTTTCCAAGAGACTGGTAATGACTGGAATTCCTGTAGTGTACATTGGAAAGCCTTCTGCCAACCCACACTAGTGCTGCTCTGTGTCAAGTCCTGCAGGACACTCACTGCAGAAAGACCCTTTTACACTGTGACATGACCAAGGATTTCCTGTTCTCCTTCCATGTCCTCCTCGTCCATTTTCATCGTGCGATGTGTCTTCCGAAGCTCTTGTGTTCTCTGTCTTTCACTTGCTTTATCATTTTTCTTGTCTGATTTCGCATATGTGCAAAACGCCACCATTTCACACAGACACTTTACACTACAGCAGTGGCGTAGCTGGGAGGAGGAGAGGAGGACTACCCTCAAGATCTGCGTTTTGTTCCTTTGACCTTTGAGACTGAACAGTTCGCCAATGACATTTAAATCATCGGCAGCACAAAGATGAGCCATTGTCATTTTAGCCAGAAACAGAAGCCATGAAGATCTTTTCTCCTTAAAAAAAATTGTGAAAGCCTGACCCCCTCTCCCCCAGCTGGCCCCCTGTTGCTCCCTGTATTCTGGCGACACTCTTTCTCTACAGCCAAATCGCTTTATATACATTCCCGTTATATATGTAGTCTATATATGTATGTTATACCCTCACAGAACCTTATTCTTCCACGCATAGTGAACTTCCAGAAAGTGTTATACCATCATTCGTTGCCATTTGTCACAACCTCTCATAAACCCTTCTGAAATACAAATCTCTATATACACCTACTGCAATCCTCATGCTTAATAAACAAACACATGGATTAACACGTTCAACCAAAGTTCAACATGTTTTTCCCTTGTCCGTTCGTCCACGGAATCCGTTTCACGTCCCAATATACTCTTCCAGTTTCATAATGAATGTTTCTTGCGCTTTCTATTTTCTTTCTTTTCCTTGGTCTCCTATTCTTTATCTTTCTTTCTCTCAAGCTTCAAATATCATTTTCTGTTCTAAGTATTATGTCATGTATTTCTCGTAATGTGTTTTTCATCTTGAACCGGAAATTTCAGCTGTCGCCCATCATTCCTATGATGAATGTAGTATATATATGTGCAGACGTCCCTTATTTGTATGTATATCTTTCTCTCTCTCTCTCTTTCTCTTTCTCTTTCTCTTTTCTCTTCTCTTTCTCTTTCTCTTTCTCTCTCTTCTCTCTTCTCTCTCTCTCTCTCTCTCTCTCTCTCTCTCTCTCTCCTCCCCTCTCCCTCCCTCTCCCTCTCCCTCTCCCTCTCCCTCTCCTCCCTCTCCCTCTCCCTCTCCCTCTCCCTCTCCCTCCCTCTCCCCCCCCCTCTCTCTCTCTTTCTCTCTCTTTTCTCTTTCTCCTTCTCCTTCTCCTTCTTCTTCTTCTTCTCCCTCTTTCTCTGTCTCGTAGGAGAGTATTTTGACTGGCAGTCTTCAGTTTCACCATCCCTTCCTCACTCATTTCATTTATTTTCTTATTAACAGTAGTTCCACATACCCACGACAAGCACACACACACACACACACACACACACACACACACACACACACACACACACACACAACACACAAACACACACACACACACACACACACAATATCCTCCCCAGTGGTTGTTAATGAAAATTGTTCTGAAATTCCTTTGTTGGAAGAGTTAATCCCTTGTTAAAAGTGCCAGAGAGGTAAACAAAAATTAACTAAATTTTTTTCATGAATTGGGCAACACCTTAATACTAATCCGAATTAACAGTTGGTCCTAAAACGGCATGGTTTGATGCGAACCAAGCAGCCCCTAAACGATGAATGGCATGAGATAATTGTGTTTTTCTTTCATTTAAACTGCATCTTCGTTCACAGTTGTAAGTCGTCAGCCAAACACCCGCGGCAGCTACAATCGCTCTCACAAAATAACTAAATATTTTGGTGACTGATGTGCATGTAGTTCACACAAGTACGTATGTGGTCTTGTTGCACAAATAAGACAAAAAAAAATAAAGAAGCTTTTGAACCATTCACTTATAAAATTTGCACCGATTCAGTGATTATTTCTGCTGATGTAGCATATAAAAAGGAAAAATTATTGTTTGAAAGAGTGAGAAAAAAAACAATAAAGATTATTCTTATGTATTTCCTTAAAGTGCTTAATAACAACTCCGCGTTTTAATAGACACCCTGTGTTTTCCACAACCATCGTCTGCCAGGACAAGGAACGATGTGATGTGTGTTGTTTCCTTAAGCTTACCTCCGCTGATTATGGCTCTCCTTTTACCGTACATTTCCACTGGTCATTCATATCCTTGTTCCCTAGTCCCCCTCTTTATCCGATTATCCTAGACATGAAACCTCCTACAGTCCTAGCCTGCGAACACGATGAAGAGTAACGTTGCATTAGAATTGTAAAAAATCAATTGCATAACAAAGAATAGCCTACTCTATCTCTGTGTGTATATATAGTGACTTTGGAGATTAATCAGTAAAGCTTTCATGGCCCAAAACCCTAAGAGTATTGATAATAGTCTACGATCAATGTTTTAAGATGCTACACCTCATACCATACCGTGAGCTTGCACGAGGCAGAATGTTGCAGTATGTAGAAAAGAAAGTATGAATGAGAATGAATAATGAATGGCCCCGCAGTTACTCATTCTCACACACGCTCCCTTTCTACATGTGTCACAGTGAAACGGTGGTGCACAGGGCATGCACGGACCTAAAAGCCTCGGCACGGTGTCTCGTTAGGGCTGCATGCTCCACCTCGTGTATCTGGTAGCTTTAGGGTAGACTAAAACTTACGATTAAGACTATGTTTATACATAACTCTAAAAAATAAGCCATAATGACAAAACACTTTCCTGCTTACTCTGATAAATTAACCTTTATATTTGTAGCCTAACCCTGCATGGCTTTTGGTGGTAGATATGACAGTAGTCATATTTGTAGATATGACAGTAGTCATATTGTAAACCTCCTACTCTGTCTGTCTGCCGATAAACACTTTCTCTGTCAGACCTAACCCCACTGTCTACCCTGTCACGTCAGCCGGAACGATCACCATTGCCTTCTAAACGCAAAAGTTGCGCGATAAAGCATTGCGAAGCCTGCCTCTTGCAATGCCTTCCGGACGTGTTTCCCCGGAAGGCGGTCTCCCCCCTCAGCGCCTCGAGGGGGCGGCCTTCGGTCATTCGAGACTTGCCAAATTCCTTCCCAAAGGGCCTGAGAGACAGCCAGGGCTCCCGTCCTGGCGAGGTCCCCCTTGGCGCAGTTGAGGGTCTGACAGCGGCAAGTGTTCAGACCTTAAATGTGCTGAAAACAAGTGTCCAAACACGCATAAAAGATATCAGCTGGCTGTAAAAGTGGTACCTACGATGAGAAAAAGAGCCATGCAGGGTTGGTGCGCCACTCAGGGACGGGTACCATCTGCTTTGGTACCAGACCAGTACCAGCAACAGCCACTAACCATGACTCAGGCCTATCCCTTCCAGTTTCTGTCAACGAGCTGCAGAAGAAGCTCGAGGAGGAGGTGGACCGCAGGAGAGAGAGGTGGGAGGAGGAGCAGGGGAAACACCTCTCGGGAGAGGAGGCGCTCATGTCCTCCACCAGGAAGAACCTCGTCCAGCAGGAGGGGGAGGGTGAGTCGGCGGCCGGAGTCCTGTTTCTGTAGAGGCTTTAGGGAGCCCTTCTCTCGGGCCCAAGTGTCTCAGCCTCAGTTAGCGTAGGCAGCTGGCTTTGTCTTTAAATATGTTACTAATAAATTAGTACTAATATGTATATGCATGCAGGCATTAACTTAAATATTTATTAACATATATAAGTATATTTGTATATACACACACACACATATATATACATACATACACACAAACAAACACAGTAACGAGTACGCCCAATCGAAATGAAAACACCACCACAACAAAAACGTTGTATTTCGTTTCTGTTGTGGTTGTGTTTATTTAAATATATATATATATATATATATATATATATATATATATATTATATATATATATATACATATATGTATGCATGTATGTATGTATACATATATACAGATATTCAGACAGATAGATCTTTATCTTTTTATATATTTATTGATCTATGTATCTTTCAAAGTCGTAGTAATCTCTTTCATATTAATTTGATAATATTTACAATCCTCTCTTTGCCATAACATTGTTGTTTCCAATTAAAAAAGAGATAACGCAGTGAGCACCAGGTAAGTACCAATAAATAAGGACCTATTGATCGACAGAACATTACCTAAGAAACACAAAGCAAATAGCTGTTACATTGTTATTCTTTCATTTTCATTCATTAAGGATGTGTGTGTGTGTGTGTGTGTGTGTGTGTGTGTGTGTGTGTGTGTGTGTGTGTGTGTGTGTGTGTGTGTGTGTGTGTGTGTGTGTGTGTGGTGTGTGTGTGTGTGTGTTTTTATATCTATAATGATATAAATGTGTGGAGATGTCTGTGCATACAAATGGGCCCGTGTGTGTATGTCCAAGTACATACACTATTCCCGTACATAGAGCTGCTCTATTTTCCAGAGATTATTTCCTCTTGTGAATAAGCTGGTTACTGCCGTTATGGGTTTCCGGGAACCCTAAATGCATTTCCCACCAGGTAATGTGTGGTTAATTAAGGGAATTAATCAGGCCAGGTAGGGAATTACTAACCCTCTCGCTCCGCCTCGCCTAACGTCGCCTCACTTCCTGATGGAGGAGAATGGCCTTTTGTGGTAAAAGTCGGGTTTTGTGAGGTTGTAGTTTTATCACAGTCTCCCCTGAAATTTGTCTACTCTCGAGATTTCTATTTACTCTTATTCCATGCACTGAGGACACTAATCGAATGTAAACTTTGCAAAATGTATTCATTTTACTTTCTGAGAGATGAGCTGTGAGGAGAAAGAAGATTGGATTATGTAATTGATTTGTAATGATATCTATAGAGTATATGCTTGATAATGTAGGTCATATGAGTCATTCAAACTTAGACTATGATACATTATTTTGGTCCAACGTAGACTATTGTAATTCTTCAGATGTCATTCACATAAGTATTGCCTTTTTGTCGCTTTTGTCACTAAATTACGACAAACTTCATTTCCCAATTTCCCTCGCGCTCTGACAGCAAAAAGACTGCCTTTGACTCGGCCTGAAAATTCCTGTCTTGGCATCTGCTGTCACCTTATCCGTCCTATTGTCGGGACGTAATTGGCAATATAAACCTTTTGCTGAAAAGATCCTATTTCTTAAACCGTATTTAGGATACTAAAGCTGGTGTCCTGGTTGTCGAATCTACAGTGATAGAAATATAAGATGGAAAATAAAAAGTGAAATATGATATATATGAAAATATAGGTGGACGAAAAGTGAAATGATTAGAAATGAAAAGAAATGTACAAAAAATAATAAGTACAAACCTCAGGAAGAAGGAATGTGTCTTATTCCGAACTCGTCCATGCAAGCAAAACGCCATTTTCACCAAATCGAAAATCTTAACATTATGGGAAAAGTACAAAACAATATCTGAGAATTCGAATGACTTGGCGCTTAACTCCTGACTTATGATATATATATATATATATATATATATATATATATATATATATATATATATATATATATTGGTACATTGCTGCGTATACTTTGTTTCCAGTATTGATTCAAGGCGAGATTAATGCAACAAATATAATAAACAAGAAGTACAAGCGCAAATGTGATAGTTGACTATTTTGTAATGGTAAGTACTATCTCTTTCTGTACTGGTCGGGCAATTTCGTGTACCTTGCCTTGTCACATTACACAAAGTAATTAGTTTTACTCTTCCCACGTGTAAAACTAGCGTAATTGGAACACCGGTCTCTTCCTCCGCCACAGAAAACACAAAAACATGACATAATATCCGAGAATTCACTCTCAGCTGGAAAAAAAAAAATAAAGGACAAAAGCAAAGCGCACCGAACGCGGCGGGACCTTCACTCAACTCAAAATATCCAGCGATTATTATATTGCTTTTGTTCCAGACACTTCGAATCACTGTCCATTTGTGCACTCTCAGCATCCTCAGCGCAGATACGCATCAGCACGAGATCACTTGACATTTTTACCAGAAATACGCCGGCAATATTCAACATGGCGCGCGTGTGAAGAGTCCCGCCCTCTCTTCTTTTGGCGGGAAGTTAGACGCACGTGCGGCCGTGTGCGCGTCCGTCTTTGTGTAAATATTTTAATGAGGTTCCTTATTTTCCTAAGGGATTTTATAATCCTTTCGGTGCTATATGCATTTGTTTTGTTTATATGTTTTGTTATTGTTTGATTCGTAGTGTCCGACACATTCAGACAAGACCGACATGCATACGAGAAAGAACAAGAAAATCTACCGGTTAATCTCATCCATATTTCCCCCAATCAATCAATCATTAAAGAAATAGATAAATAGATAACGACCATTTTCGAGATGGAAAAAATCGTGGCGCCACCTAATTCCTTCGTGGGGGGGGGAGGGGAGGGGGGGGGCGAGGAATGCGCAGCATCCGACAGGCGGCAACGAGACACCTGCGCCCCGCTCGGCCTCTCGGCGCCTAATGGAGCGAAGGAGCTTTGTCTCGCTTAATTAGATTTCTTTTGCTCTCGCTCGGGCGACGGGTGCTTGGGGTCGGGGGGGGGGGGGGCGCTTGCTTCGTGGCCGTGGGTTGGATCAAGGTTGGTGGTATATACATACATTGTGTGTGTGTGTGTGTGTGTGTGTGCATATATGTTTACACAGATGCTGAATGAACGTGTGATTTTACGTCCATGAATGACTGTGGTGCCAATCGCGTTGTTATAAACTAAATATAACGTGCATAGTAATCTCTCTCACACACACACACACACACACACACACACACACACACACACACACACACACACACCACACACACAACACAATCACAATCACACACACACACACACACACACCCTCAACAAATGAAAACGAAAGCATAACAAGGTAACAGCCACTTACCCCCTCCAAAGCCTTTTCACCCCAAGGCCCTCTCTCCCTCGCAGCCTCGACCGACCTGCGCAAGAGCTTCCCACGACACAAGCTGGAGAGAGAAGACACCACCAAGTCGAACAGTCCGTCCCTGAGTGGAGGCAACTTCCTGGATGTCCCTCGTTCAGATACTCTGGGTAACGTGTCTGATAAGAGGCCAGGTAAGCGTGGGTTTCTGGCGAGGGCGGGTCTTGTTGTCGTCATAAGTGTTGTCGTTTTGTTGCTGTCGTTGCAGCTGTTGTTTTTTTTCTATTGCTGCTACTTATCTTTCTTATTCTTCTATTCCGTTTTTTCTTAGTTATTATTTTTTTTTTTTTTTTTACTCCTATCACAACTTTTTTTCCTCTTTACTTCACCAATGCTGCTACTGCTGCAACTGCTACTACTACTGCTGCTGAAATACCCCCACTACTACTACTATTATTATTACTACTATAACTACTACTTCTATCAATAAGGATAATATAATAATAATAATAATAATAATAACACCACTA